TACTGCCGAAGCGCGTCTTTGTACCGCCGGAGCGCGTCTTTGTACTGTTGGAGTGTTTGTCTTTATTGCCGGAGCGACTTATTCAACCTTCGGAGCGCTGTGGCACCAAAAGGTGTACTTCCGAAGCGCGTCTTTGTACTGTCGGAGCATGTGTCCTCATTGCCTGAGAGACATATTCAACTGCCAGAGCGCTATGGCTTCAGAACGTATACTACCGGAGCGAGTCCTTGCATTACCAGAGTGCGTGTCTTCATTGCCGGCGTGTTTAAATGGACTGTCGGAGCGCATGGGGAGAGAGTCTTGGATAAAAGCCACGAGGAGAGAGAGGGGGGTAGTTTAGTCTTTTTTTCTTTTGTTTTGGATTGGGGGGTTTTTACGAGGAAAGATGATTGTGGGGAAAAAAGTGAGAGGAAAGGTTAGGTGGGGGATAAGTTGCATAGATAGTATCCTTGAGGGGGGTTTTGTAATTTTTCCAAATAAAATCATGACTTCCAAGTCATTGAGATAGTTTTTGTTGCAGAAAACAACACTAATGCACCTTTTAATGAAATAATCATATCTTTCAAACCACAAGGGGTTTATTCATAAAACCATTTTTATTTAAAATTAGACTCAATTTGATGATTATAATCAAATTTAAGTTACAATAATAATAATATGATTGGCGAAAAAATTCATAGAACTCAATAGACAATTCTTGAATTTTGCAGGGTCAGAACTAATACCCTTCATTTATGAGTCCATAACTCTCAATTCCCTTGGGATCTCCCACTAAAAATTTGCAAGTAGATCCTAATCTCAAAAACACATAATATTACTGAGGTACGCAATAGAAAAATAACTCATTATATTCTCCAAAATATCTCAAAATACTCATTCTACATAGTGCCTTTTTCGATATTTGAATATTCCAATAATTTTTAATCGGAGGTATATTGCTTAACCAGATAGGTCATTAGCTTTCTTATATCTCATTCTCAAGCTAGATCTAGAGTCAAATAATGAGAAAAGACCACTAATGGTGACAAGTATCAATAGTTCTGATACCAATGAAAGAATGACACATGTGATCTAGCCGTAGTATATAATAAATTTTTTCTTTTTCAATTCTCTTTTTTTCTTCACGTTCTAGATCACTCACAAGGTCTTTTTGCAGTATAACAACTTCAAATAAAATAAAATAAAATAATACAATAGGATCTCAAGAATTTGAACCATTCAAAACCACACTTCTCATTAACAAATAAATGACACAACCTATGCTTGGGAATAAAAGATATAATAGATAAATATGGAAGAAACAAAAAAGGGTGCTGGAGATTACCTCAACCGGGCTTCTTACACCCCACACCGAGTCACCAACTTCTGATGGTGTGGGATCTAATGATCAACCTTCAATCTCAACCAGGAAAGCAAGTTTGGACAAGTCACACCAATGTAACATGAACCCCTTTGATCACAAACTCAAACCCTAGGTCAATCCCCTTAGCAACCTAGTTTGAGAGATATGCTTCTCTTGTCTACCACAACCATATAATCTAAACCCTAAAAAAAGAGAGGAAGTATTATAAGAGAAGAATACATGAGAGAAACGATGGATGTGAGAGATAGTGGGGCTTGCCCCCCTTAAGGCATTCAAGAGAGAAGAGAGAGTTTCTATTGGATATATATATATATATATATTCTAAGTGGGGCATGCCCCCTTTGGTAGGTCAAGAGAGAGAGAGATGGAAAGTATATATAAAAAATACGATGTAGAGATTTTAGGTAGGGTACTCTCTTTTTTATAGTGCTTGAATAAGATTAGGGTTTTTTAGGGTTTTCCTTGCTTGCAACTCATGTGAGATTGAATATGCATCATTTATCTTTGGTGACTTGTAGGGTGAGAGATCTGAGCTCTCCATTCCATAGATAGATCATCAACATCCTATAGAATGTGCTAGACCATTATCCCCCACTTCCTAAACCATTTTCCCATCTATTAATTCAAATAAGAAATGAATATATTTTAATATTATCCTTTCTTATTTTATGCATGCGCTTTCTCATACATTCCAAAATATCATTCAAATATTCCTCAAGGCTTTAAACTTTCTAAAATTAATACTCTCTTATCTCTCAAGCCTTCAAGCTTGATCACAAAATTAAAAGGTGCTATAGGTGGGCGTGCCACCCATAGTGGCACATAATAGGCCCCACCCAATATGCAATGGTAGGCCTAAAAGACCTATTGGACCTCCCATACAATTTAAGTTATTTTTATATTTTTAAAAATACATAAAATCATTATTTAAATATTTAAATCATTATAAAAACAATATATATGTTTTTATAAATTTAAATTTGATAAATAAAATATCCAGAGATTTAGAAAAAATTCATATAACAATTCTAAAAATAAAATATAATTAAAATAAAAAAATTAAAACTTTGATGGGAAAATGATCCATATGGTCTAGGAATAAATATCCACTGGGGCACTTCATGTCAACCACGAACTACGAACCACACATGCTTTCTCAAACCGACTCAGTGTTGCCCATGACCCACAGTCCATGCAGAAGATCATTATTGGGTTACCAAAGTCTAGCCAATGGGCAAGGGGTCATAGTCCCAGTATATAGATTTCAGGCCCCCTTAGAGACGAAACCCAAGGTAATCATAACCTGATGCAATCCATAGCTCGATGGTGCACAGGGGTATCTTCGTACACATGCACACGTTTTACCCTAAAAAGTGAAACGCTTTCTCGAAAATGGCTATCGATGTGCATGACGTGTGATGGTACAAATGATGAGGTTTGGCCCTGTCTCCGAAGGTTTTCATCATACACAAGGGTCATACCGTCCCTCGGCTCACTCATCCGGGCATACTCCAACCTCATCAAAAGATAACCCATATAAACCCTCATCGGTATGATTCTCAAAGCCCAGGTAACATGGGTTTTCTCTAACCAGACCGACCTAGCACGTCAAGTACGGTTCGGTGTTAGCAAACATCGTTTACTTAGTATGATCCACAAATGACCACACTCCAACTGAGTTCATATTCCACAAATAATTTTATTTTACAAGCACTCATAAGGCCTTTAATAGACACACACACCCGTTAATAAACACACTTGCGTGTATTTATATGCACATCTAGATGTTCCTTTGTCTAACCAAAAACTCCCACATGAATATTGGCTTTTAGATCTAGTTTCTAATTGGACAAAGGACCGTGATATAAAATAAACATCTGTATCATGTGAGGCAATCCACATGTGTGTCAAATTGCACTCATGTGCATAATACAAAATACGCTTATCCAAGATAAGACCAATAACCAAACATATCATAGAGAGCACACCACCCTATGTTGTACATGTCAGCAGAGGGGATGATGTGGTATCCATGTGGTGCCCATTGGCCAGTTGGGTGCTGCACAGTCCACATGTGTTGTTATCGTCAAGGGCCATTTCTCCCAAACAATTTGAAATGTCCCAATTTTTTCTCACAAAAAATTCTTAAAAAATTCAAAAACATATTTTTAATTGTTTTTTTATTTTAATTCAATTTTTTATGATAGAAAAATATGTGAGGGTATTTAGGGCACTCCATTCAGTTAGATCCAGAACGTCAAGTCATTTTTCTCGAATTAACCCAACAAGGACCATGTCCCACAGAGTTAAGCTGAGGCCCATGCTTGGCTGATCAAAGCCAACCTAATAGATTGCTAGGTCCTAAATTTATATTATATTGCAGGTGCACCCCATAGGACATGTACTCTTGTGGATGTAGGGATCATCTCTCTTAATATATATACATAACTCTATCAAAAGGATCTTGCCTCGAGAAAGCAACTCCCATTTGCAATTGTATATATACATGCTATGAGAATGCTTGAGGTTGGGGATTTTCGTTTATGTTCTCTCAAAGCTAGCCGTCTCATAAAGGGCTCACACAAAATGTTCAGAAATACTCGAGCTCACAGTAGTACTGAGAAATAATCACAAGTACTTAAAAAATATTCATGCCCTGGTTTATACGATCATAAGGTGTACACATATCAACCCTTACTAGAGGAAACCTTCGAACCTCTCGGTTCAAAAGTCTCTTAAGTACATAGATATCATGATCCGAGATTTTATGTATCTTTATATCTCAAATCGCCAACATTCTACCAGACAAAGGTCGTGGTCCACTTCTACTGTAACCAAGAATCATCACAGATTGCTCGAATCAAGGCCTTGAAAGGCTGTAACTCCAACACGTACTACTCATTTCAATGCTGGAATCAAGGAGGCTATAACTCTAACAGTTACTACTCATTTGAATAGCAACTCATTTTAGCTCTCCTTTGAATGGCCATTATTCCAACGTTCTACTACCCATACAAAACCATTCAATTTGCATGTACGATTTCCAGAATTAGTTTAAACTTTGGAAGAAATGCCTCTCTCTCTCTCTCTCTCTCTCGTTAAGAGGTATATTCCATTCTTTCTTAGACGTTTCAGCAGTCCCCTCTTTAAGAAATTTCAGTTTATGACAATAGGTTTTCTCAGAAGATATTATCTTGGGGTTTACCCTATGTAACCTAATAAGATCCTACCGTAATATTTCCCAAAAAAACAAAATAATAATAATAATATTAATAATTGGGAAAAATTTATATAGAGCTTAGGATCTAAACAATCAAATTAGAACCTACTTCAAAAAATTCACTAAAAGAGGTTGTTTTGATACCCAAATATCATCAAATTGATCATCTCGACATCAAGATGCATGTGACTTGAGAAAAAAAAATGGATTTCAAGTTTTGGAAATAGTGCATCTGGTTACGCATTTTTGGACCATTAATTTTTAAGTTATTCAAGTTTTTATAGATCTGTTCGATCTACACTATGTTTAAAGCTTTAAATTTTATAATTAAAAATAAAAATATATTTTAACTCTAATCAAAGATTTCCATATTGAACCCGCATTTCTTTAGAGTGTCGGCTCTATATAAACGCACCCTTAATAATAAGAACCTACCTTGTATATATATAATAATTATATCCTTGACATTTTATCTTGCAATACATACATGTATCTTCCCCACCACACACAACTCTATTTCATGCAGAAGGAAAGGTACCCTAGTCTCATTAACCAACCTCTTCTCCCTCTCCCTCTCCCTCTCTCTCTCCCTCTCTCTCTCCTGGTTTAGAGAGAGAAGGCGGTCCAAACATGGAGAAGAGCCTGTAGGCTGAGATGACAGAGATCACAACCAAGCAGAGCAATGCCAAGAAATGGAGGACCAAAGAAACCTTTGCTTTCCTACAAAACATGCCATAAGAATCGCATGCTTCGCTCCATGTTACACTCTTGTCGCCATTGTAGGCTAAGTACAGTATCTCTGCAACTACCGCCCCTGATGTAACCATCATGTAAGCCATTACCTGCACCACCCCCAACAATGATAGCAATTCATGAGAATTCATATGCTTCCATGTTCCAACAGGTAACTTGGTAGAGAGCAGCGTGGAAAAACTGGATGAGCCACTTCAAATTGGTTCAAATTGGAGATCTTAAAAAAAATTTAAAAAAATATTAAATTGTGAAAAATAAAAAATTATCAATAATATATTTTTTATGTTTTCCGTATTTTTTGCAAAACATTGGATAGTGTTTTGGCCATGAATACCTATTTGTTGAGTTATTTTTAAAAAGATGTAATTTGTATAATGTTGTAACCTTAAACAATCAAATCAAGGTGTACTTATGAACTTTGTCCTAAGATGCAATTTTAGTGTAAAAATTTATTAGGATGGTTTGAGAATCTATTTTTATCTCTAATTATAAAACCTTATACTCTAAAAAATATTCAAATCAAGTAGATCTATAAACGCATGAAAGTCTCGATAATGAACGGTCGAGTTGCAATATGTACTATTTTTAACTCTTGAAATCTCTATTCTTATCCATATCTATACTTCTCGACGTCGAGGTGATCAATTAGATGTTTTTCTAACATCAAAACAACCTTTATTTTCAAAGACCTTAAATCTACATTTCAAGTTTGCCACTTTTGTTAAACTTTTTTCTTCTTATATACCCCATCACAAATTTTTTTTTTTAAAATCCAATTTTTCATTATTTTTTTAGCCCAGTGTTTTGGTTAATTTTATTTTAAACATATTTGTTGAGATTTTTTTGTATTTTTTTATTTTTAACACTGTTTGACTCGGCCAGAAATCGCATGACTTTACCGAGTAACTCGGAACTCGGCCCAAGATACTTAGCTCAGCCATGGACCGATCCCGTGGGCGATTTGTAGTTTCCCACACTGGTAGAGAGATATTCTTCCATTTTAATTGGTAGAGAGAGAGGACCTGGTCAGACATGAAGAGCACCCATAGTCTGGTCAAGCCCTCGAGCCATGAGAAGAGCGAAGCAAGGAGTGTATAACCAGCTGATATAGCATTGATGCAAACCAAATACCTGGACATAACCTTGAGCAGTCGAATTGAGGGAAACCAAGGAAAGGAAAAATAAAATACAGAAAAGATGAAAAAACAGAACCAGAATGGTTGGGTACTCACGTTAAACCTGTGAAGCTTCTGAAATCGAGTTTCCCATAGTCGGGATTATCCTGCCTGTTGTCCACCATTACCCATAGAGAAGCAACGCACAAAGGTATCACCAAGAGTCTTAGTGAGATATCCACCAATTTTGGAGTGAGGAAATGCAATTCTAAAGCAGGAGATTTTCCTTCTGAACCATTCCTCATCTCTCTCTCTCTAGAAACGACACTGACTGAATCGTAATAACTTAATGGCTTTTGCAGAGAAGAAGAGGGTCGTTGAAGAGAGACGAAAAAGGGATTGGAGTTGGCAATGGCGAAAATGGTGAATTGGTTATATCAGACACTAGAAATGTTTGTTTCCCTTAAAAGGGAAGCGTGGTTTCCAAAGAGCAAGTGCACAGCAGAAAGGAAATGGTGTGAGTCTGCTTTCAGTTGCTAAATTGAAGCCGTATGGATAAGTAGCGATGCATCGCATCCCTATCAAAATATATTTCACCTACTTCTTCTCCAAGTCTTCTTTGCCTTAATGAACGGCTGAGATGACTTCAACAGCAATATCACACCCAAACACCGTTTTATACTTTTTGTATAAATGATATTGAAACCAAATTTCCGGCGTCCAATCATCTCTTAAAACTCACGTATATGAAAATTATAAAGAACATTTCTGATAAAATAAAATAACTGAAATATTTCTCGAAGTTTTAAGATTATTTTGGTTATTTTATTTTTAAATTTTTTTTAGGAATACCATTGAGATGATGACACCCTCCAAATTTATATTCATATTATTTGTTAAAAAAAAGTAAAACTAAAATACTTTGAGATGTCATATTTAGATCAAATGG